TCTTCCGTTTACACCCTATGTTTTGTTGGCATAGGTTACGTACATGCGCACGGTCCAAAAATGCATAGAGAAAACACCGCGAGCGTTTGGCGCTTCATCTCGTGGAAGCCTGACTCCTAATGAACATGGACTAAAAGGCGAGTGTTCGCTGATTATCTGTACGTGCGAAAAAGTCATCTAATCACTACTGTTGCCATGATTTCTTAAAATATCTTGCACATCTTCATATGCTTTTATAATACTGGTGTAGTGTATTCGTACATAAATTTTGACGTAGTAAGGAAAGAACAGTTGGATTTCAAAGCATATTTTTTTGGAGATGAATTTCAAAGTGGTTTACTTCACAGTGCTGGCTAAAGTCATAATCCAATTTAATTTCTAAGAGTCAGTACGATAATCGAAAAAATTTCATTCAGTTTGCGCGATTAAAATAGTTTAGAATTATTGTGCTCGACGCTTTGTATAGTCTTTTCAACTTAACCCATACACTTTCGGCTACAAATATTCCCACAACGCGCTGCAGTCCCCTTGCAAACGGCCCAATGGATGCTTTGTGCTGATGTGTAAGCGTGTCTCTGTTTCATAAAGATCGGCCATTTCTTCATAACGCTTTAAAGTGCAAATCGGCCGATGATGCGTTGCGGAGTTGCGGTCTAGTACTATGTTGGTTGAAATTCGATACGCGTCTCTCCGGCGTACTGGCTGCCGACTTCTGAAAACTTCAGAACCTTAAGAAAGAAAGCAAATCAAAGTCTGCGCCTCAAAGGTCGGATAGAGCCTATTACGCCAAGTCAGTACTCAGCTGCGGCGCCACCATGCAACCGCCGCGCACCCTCGATCGGGCGATCGTTTTGCGCTCAAGGTTTAAGGAATCGGCCAATCCTTACGAGGTTTGGAGGCATCCTTATTGTTGAAGCGCATAAAACGACAACGTGTCAGCCGTAACATACCAGCGAACAATCGTACTGAACCATGCACAAGAAGATTGCGGCACGTAGTGGGAAAGTTCGCTGCCGATGGCATGTGGATCAACTTTGCTCGAACAGGTCGTATTGAAAAGAGCACCTCACAGTGAAACTAATAACCGACTTGAATTTCCAGTGAATAAACAATCTCAAAAATCGCTCAAATTTTTAGTCTGTATTTCGAAAAAATCGGAATTAGAAAGGCGCTAGTTTTGAAGTGGAGCTACATATAACTAAGCGGAATAAATTTCTTCTCTGAACAGTTGCAACGCCCTCTAAGAAAAGTTTTGATTTTACTGGCCGAAAATCGATGTTCGCATCTAGTTTTTCAAAAAAAAAATGATTATTTATCATTTGAATTATAGGAGTTGAGGTGCGAACCCGTAAAATCTCCAAAAGCCTAGTTTCAACTATATCCAACTACCT